ACCATTTCCAAACGTTTTGTTTCACTAGTGAATTTTAAAATAGCTAACTGCTATGTAGGGTTTAACTGCTGCTAATACTTCCATTGAATTTTGACAGCTACACTTCCTCGATTTCACCTTCTGATGGTATACATGACATTTTCAAAATCCTCCCATCCAAATTCTCAAAAATTAGTCTAGAATCTGAGGATTCTATTTTAAAGCTCAGGGCTACTCATTTCCTGATTTAATTAATTGGCACATATTGACTCAACACATATTCTGTTATTCTTATTATCATTATTTTGAGTTTGGGGAGAAATAAAAAGTGTTTCTCATGTCTGTGCTCCTACTAAAGTTTGGTTGAACAAAAATATTCTTCAAATATGTTCAGACTAAAAGATGGATCTGATTTCAGCTCAGAGATGTGGAGAGCTGGAAAGGCTATTACTCTCTTACATAAAAAGTGTAAATGAATGATTTTTTCAAACCCTACATGAAGCTGAAGTCAGAGGGCAATCATCTAACTCCAGATCTGGGGAGAGACAGCACCAAGGGGAAGAAACATGATCCAAGCAGTTGATTACCTGAGACAGACACTGCTGCTTCCACATAAAGTGGTAAGAAGAATTCAGCCAAGACAGTTTTAATAAATTTCTAAACACCAAATGTGGGGTGCAGTGACAATGAGAAACTTTTGAGGACTGCAAATACAGGTGGATTTGCACTCTCTTATGTAATTTCCCCCATGCATCTCCAAGCACTCACAGAAAGGAATGGGGGGAGATCACAAAGAATTGCAAGTAGCCTCTTCCATGATATTTTAGGCTTTGCTGGCCACGAGGTTTCTGTCACGACTATTTAACTCTTCTATTGTATCAAGAAAACAGCCCAGACTACACATAAATATGTGGACTGTGTTCCAATCAAAGTTTATTTATAGACACTTACATTTGAACTTCATGAAATTTCATATTTCACAAAATATTCTTTTTAATTTTATTTTTGGCTACTTAAAAATATAAAATCATTCTTAGTTCTCAGGCTATACGAAGGAGGCCATGGCTTGGAATTGGCCCATGGACTGTACTTTGCCAAAGTTTCTCTGACAATTGAAGCATTTAGGTTCTAAAAAGAAATTTATGAGGGCTGCATTAGTTTTCTACTGTTGCTTTAAAAAATAACCACAAATTGAATGGTTATAGCAAAGCAAACTCATCATCTTACAGTTCCACAGGTCACCAGTCCAGGCACAGTATCACTCACCTAGTTCTCTGCTTTGGGCTTCATTGGGTGAAATCACTGTGTCAGCAGAACTCCACTTTCTTCTGGAGGCTCTGGGGAGAATTTGTTTCCAGACTTAATTTTCAAGTTGCCAGAATGCAGTGCCATGTGGCTGGAGGACTTAAGTTCTTGTTTCCTATCTGGCTATTAGTGGGGAGCCTCCCCAGTTTCTAGAGGCTACCCACATTCTCTGACTCATGGCATCCTTCGAAGCTAGTAACAGCAGATAATATCCCTCTCTCTGCCCCTTCTCCTCTGTCTATCTCTCTGAAGCATCTCTTCTTTCATACAGTGGTGCTGCAATTTATTCTGGCACTTTAAAGACCCATGTAATTTAATAATTGTGTCCCCTTATATAATCCAGGAAAATCTCCCTTATTAAAGATGGATGATTGCCAACGTTAATTCGATTAGTATAATCTCTTTTGCCATGTAAGTGAACATATTCACAAATGTAACACCAGATATGAACGAAGAGCATTGCGTGGGGAAGGGCAAACTCTGCAAGGTCCGTGCCACCATGTGCTATTCTGACCCAAACTCTCTGGTCTTCCACTCTTGTCAAATTGTTAAGAGACCCAATCATTTCATCTTTTCCTTTGCATTTCTGCACCATCTCTCTGCCAGAGCTGAAAAGAAGTAAACATATACATATAAACCAAACAAATTCAATTAACCCTTTTATTAAAGCTAAACAAGAATGTATTCATTCTTCATTTATTCAAGGATTATTTCACAGTCCTTCCTAGATTTAGGCTGCTTTCAGAGCAGTCCCACACACTGTCAGCATGGATTCCATAACTCAGGAAATAAGCAAATATCTGTGAATTGCTATTATAAGAAATAATTTCAGTGAATACTTTTTAAAAATATTTAAAATATCATTTTAAACTCCAGCTAAAAGATCCACAAGAATCATTATAGCTGCATTTTTATTTCTAATTCTCTTGCTTTTTCTTAATTTTAATGGTGAGAATTTATTAATGCCTCTGATGTGGGTTTCCAAAATGACCTAGGATCATTTTTAGACCAGTTCAGTCTTCATGGATCAAATAAATTTGAGCCAACAAATGCAAATTAACTCTTAACTTTGTTCTCTCCAGTTATTCCACATAGTCAAAAAAATTAGTTTTTAAGTTAGTTTGCATGCCAAAATAACTAGACTAGCTCTGGGTACATTGTAGGTACCAACTATATAAATGTTGGTTGATTACAGAAGACATGTCATGGAGAGTGGTCACAGAATATAACAGAAAAAATTTGTGGAAGTTCTAGGTTCTAGTTTTGGGATTCTTCTGTGGACTTGGATAAATCTCATACACTCTGGACCTCAGTGTTCTGATCCACAAGATAAAGGGCTTTAGACCAGATCAACACCTTATATTTAAAAACAAAAATCTTCCCAATAATAGACTTTTAAGGTGAAGAAAGTAAAGTAAAGGCTCACAATCAAAGAACTTCTACTTGATAGAGAATATCTAGAAAGACATGCAATAAACATCAACGTTAATGGTGAGAAACTGAAAACTTTCTATTAATATCAGGAATGAGGCAAGGGATGTCTCCTCTCACCACTGCATTTCAACATCAAACTGTAAGTTTTAGCTAGTGCAGTAGGACAAAAATGAAATAAAAGACTACATAGATATGGAAGGAAGACACAAAACTGTTTTAACTGTTTTTGTTTGCAGATGACATGATCATCTATTCAGAAATCTAAAATAATCAATAAAGAAAACCTGGGACTAATAATCAGTTATATCAAGGTTACAGGCTATGAGGCTAATAGACAGAAATCAATCACTTCCCTGTATACCAGCAATGATCAGGTAGAATTAGAAATTAAAGACACGATAGCATCCAAAAAAATGAAATGCTTAGGTATTAATTTAGCAAAATATGTTCAAGATCCATATGAAGAAAATTACAAAACTGGGAATAAAATTGTAGAAGAACTAAATAAATGGAGAGATAATGTTCATGGGTAGGAATACTCAATATTGTGAGGATGTCAGTTCTTCCCAAATTAACCTGCAGATTCCATGCAATCGCACTCAAATCACTCAAGCAACATTAAACAGGTCAGACATAATTGAAATGTTTGCAATTCAGTATTTATAGAATAATGTCTCCCAATATCTATGAAAGCATTCACAATGAGTACATTATTCATGTGGTTATCTTTCAGCTTGTGTCTGTGTAGGACTTTTTGCTCTCAATATCATACTCTCTCCTATGGTAGTGAAACAATATTCTTTCATGGTCCAAGAAACATGTTTGCTTTTGGATGCAAGCTAATGGAGATGCTATGTCCCTTATTTCCTTTTAGTAGTTGCACCCTGCTCTATGACCCACTAAGCCCAAATTTTATTATCTAACATTTGCCATTGTAATAGTCTGTAAGTACTGTATTGATGCATACCCATAAATAGTTTGAGACAGAAGTGTGTAAATCAATTGAAATTAAATTATCTCCAGAACATTGGTTCCCCAAACTGACTTAGTATTATAATCACCTGTTGAGGAAAATCTTAAGATACATATATATGTTTTATATATCTTAAGATATATATCTGGACCTCAGTGTTCTGATCCACAAGATGAAGGGTTTAGATCAGATCAACACCTTAAATTTAAAATATGTATATGGTATATGATAAATAGCAATATTTGTAGGTAGATTACTAGGAATAGAAGTAGGCAGAGGGATATCTATGAAATACAGAATTACAGATATGAAGATAGAGATATTCCTCTAGAATTGAGGTCTGCTAGTAAGGGAGGAAAGGGGTTCATTCAAGTGTAAGTCTTCTGAAAAGGATGACTCAGCCTGATCACTTTATTTATGATAATATATCTCCCAAGATCAGGGAAACAACCTGCATCCTTGGCTCTGACAAGGCCAATGTGCTCTGTCATTCTTGAAATCTACCAGTTGGTTTCACCAAGGAGGAATAAGACAACTGTGAATGGTCTGAAGGGACTACAGTTCATTCATTACCTCTCCTCCGTGAGGCTCAAGCCTGAGCATCACAGCCTCAGAGCCCTCCCTGAGATCTGCGGAGGCTGCACTTGGGATATGCTTTTCAGAGAGCAGGAGCTTTGAGCAATCTGTGCTCATAGATTCTTTTTAAAATGGTGAGAAAGTAGGCAGCCTGAGAGATGAGCTGAGTAGTATAATACTTAGGAAGCTGAGGAAAAGCAGGGAAATGACACAGCAGGGTTTAGGTTGATGTTGAGCAAGTTTCTAAAACACTGTAAAATGGGAACAAATTTATATTTTAAATTTGCCCTGTTTATAGGGAAAAATAATAAAGTCCTAGGATTTGTACCAGCAATTTAGGGACAATTAGAAGCAAAAACAGAGTAAAATTAATGTTAAATCAGACCTTCCTTCAGCACCACATCTAACTCTTTGCTTTCCAGTGGGTGCTCTGAGGGATACTGGAGCCTAACACAGGAACAGGGCACAGGGAATTGCTCAGCAAATGTGGTAGGCTGATATCCCCCAAAACACACTGATGGCAAAAGACTACCGATCATGGAAAAATCTTTCTGTGAATATTCAGAAAATTTTCCAGGATTTTGCAAGTGCTTCAGACAGTACCATATTCTATAATGCACGTTTTGAATAAAAAATTCATGGTTTCCTCTCTGCCTGCTTCCTTCTGACCTTCTGCTATCATATAGTAAATAATAGACCAACTTAACAGTTGATAATTGCTTATTTATTTTTCTTAGGGAATGAAGTGGGATAACTGAAACAGAAGAGTTCATTCAAGTTGTTGAAAGGTAAGATTATTTCACTTTCTTTCTGATGTGATATATCCCTTGCCTCTGTGTGAACTGACCTGTGACCATGGAAGCAGAAGATACTCTGAAGATGGGCATGTAGTAATTCTAAGTGGATTGCTAAAGAAAACAGTATTTTCAAAGATCTGTTAAGTAACATGCAGAAATAGATTTGTTTAGATTCTAGACATGGTAGATTTACTTGCTTGTGTGTTTCGTTCAAATAAATTCTGTTCAAGGAAGACCACTACCCAGTATGATACATTTGCAAACTTACTAAAGAGGGAGAAGCTGTGAGGAAAACTCAAATAAACAATGTCTTTTCAAAGAAAATATAACATGACATATGTAAAGTTGATATAAAGTAAACAATAATCCACCTTGAATTTTTCCTTAATATTACAAAATAATGCATTTTCTCTCACTTTAAATGTATGTCATTTCCTATGTATTGGCCACTTTTAAGGATTACTTTATAATAATCTAGCTCTTGAAGTCTGTTGAATGGTTACGCAATGGGCTTCTGTTGTGGATTAACCTTTATTAAATGTCAAGTGTTTGGATTGATGCTTATAAAATTGCTTCTGGCTAGAGGACCATGACTAATAGCAGTAAGTAGTAAAGCACATTGCTAGAGAGAAATGCAAAACAAAGCAAAGCAACAACAAAACAAACAAAAACTTACAAATGAATAGAGTATAATTCAGCATGGAAGTAAACTTTAATTATAACTACATTATATTGTTTTTTAACTGGTGGTAGATACCTGAGATTTTGATATATTATTCAATCCTTTTTTGTATGTAGAACATTTAAAAGTAAAAAATACATTCAAATAAATTTATCATAGCTTTATATCTATCCCTAGAGGTATGACCCTATTTTTTGGGTTCCTGGACCAAATTACAACATATAGTGGTGGGAGGAAGGGGGCTCCCACATAACACCAAGAAATTCTTGGAAGAGCAGGATGTCTAAGAATTCAACTCAATTGTGATACTGTCTACCTGGGAATAGCATTAGATTCCACCAGCTAAGGGTGCCATCCTACAGGACTGACCTTAATTCCTCAACTTCAGATACCAGTCACAACCCACGTTATCACCTGTGCTTCTGACTAACTGAACATAGATCAGAGGTTCCCACTACTTCCTCCTTGGGTTCTATTAATTCACTAGGGCCACTCACAGAATTCAGAGAAGCATTTTTCTTACTAGATTACCAGTTTATTTTAAAAGGATGTAACTCAGCATCAGTCATATGGAAGAGATGCAGAGGGCAAGGTATGGGGAAGAGGCTCTGAGTGACTGTTGGGTGGTTGAGTTTGTTCTCTTTGGTTCTTGTTATTGCCACAACAAAGAATTGAAGGACAGAGATACAGTAGTGAAGTGGAGCAAAAGTTTGTTTGAATACACTCTAAGGAAGGAACAAGCCAGAGTCAAGGTAGATAAAGGTAAGTTTACTTGAATAAAGCAGAGAGGAAGGGGAAGCTCATTGATGAAAACTTGTAAGCTCAAATCACAGCTCTCAGTAGTCCCTTCCTACTTATCTGAAGTAGGACCAACAGAGTGAAGACTTGTGATTAAAGTCTGGAAAATAGAATGAAATAGCAAAGTAACAAAGACACCACTGGAAGAGCACAAAGACAAAATGTAGTAAGTTGAGCAGTAAGAAGTCTATTAAAAACACACATTCCAAGAAAGGGGAGTTTGAGCAACCTCAGAGATGAGGCGCACTTAAGGGCTTAGGATTTTGTCTTTTAAGGCTTTTAAGAATGGGGATAAGTGGGGTATGGGCAGACCCAGAGGGAGTAGTGCCCAGGAAACAATGGGGATCCTTTTTAAGATGACTATTAACTAAGTGGAGTTAGGTTTCAAAGGGAACAGGTGTGGTTTTCTTGGGGTTTGGGCTTGTTCCAGCCTCATGTATTTTGTTATATTTGGTTCCCAATGGAACTGTCATGCACAGGGAAATGTGATTTTTTCTATACTAGCCATGGAGAATTGTTATTTTTACTATGTTAATGAGTGTATAATATATTGTGGGGTGAAGTTTGAGTCAACTTCTCCATGTTAGCACCAGCCCATTTTGGCTAATCTGTTACTTATATTCTCATTCCCTTTGTCATGAAAACAGGTTACATGGAATATGTGAAAATGTAAGCAAACATCTAGCCAAGTGTAACCACCACAGGCTAATGTCCCCCTCCCCCTCCCTGCTCATCTCCGGCTACCTATCTACTATAACATTGTCACTTTTGTTTTCAAATCACTTTACCGAGGTATGATTTTACAGTTAAAAAGCTATGCATGTTTAATATATACAACTCGATGAGTTTGGTCATAAGTATATACCCATGCAACATTACTATCATCAAGGCCAAAGACATATCCATCACCTCTCAGTTTCCTCTTGTCCCTGTTATTACTATTGTTATTATATCTGTGGTAAGAACTCTAAACATAAGACCTGTTCTCACAATTTCAAGCATACAATACTGTATTGTTATCTGTAGGCACCATGCTACGTAGTAAATCTCCAAAACTTACTATACTGCATAACTAGAATTTTTACCCTTTGACCATTAGCTTTGCATTTCTTCCTCCCCAGCCCCTGGCAGTCACTATTCTCTGCATCTGTGAGTTTGACTCTTTTAGAGTCTACACAAAAGTGAGATCATACAATATTTATCTCTCTGTGTTTGGCTTATTTCATCTAGCATAATGTCCTCTAGGTTCATTCATATTATCACAAGGGGTTAGATTTCTTTCTTCCTAAAAGCTGAATAATATTCAGCTGTATGTGTATGCTACATATTCTTTACTTATTAACCTGTTAGTGGGTATTTAGGTTGTTTCCATTTGGCTATTGTGAATAATGCTGCAATGTATATATGAATGCAGGTACTTTAAGATCCTGATTTTATTTAGAAATGGGATCACTGGATGATATGGTAGTTTTAATTTATTTGTTAAAGAAACCTCTTTGCTGTTTTTCCTAATGACTGTACCAAATTAATTCCAAATAACAGTATACCAGTGTTCCCATTTCTTCATAGCCTCACCATCCTCACCAACACTTGTTATCTGTTTTTATTTTTTAACAATAACAATCCATTCTAATAGGTGTAAGGGGATGTTTCACTATGATGTATCACACTGAGGCTATATCTGAACCTGATAAATAGTGCAGCCTAGCAACTCTTCATATACCTGTTTGCCATTTGTATGTCTTAAGATAAAAATCTATTTAGACCCTTTGACCAGTTTTTAATCATTTATGTGTATGTTTGTGTATTTGTGAGGTGTAGGAGTTCCTTGTGAATTTTGGATATTATCCTTATTATATATATGGCTTATAATATTTTCTCCCATTCTGTGAGTTGCCTTTTCACTCTGTTGATTATTTCCTTTGTGGTGCAAATGCTTTTTAGTTTGATATAATCCCATTTGTTTATTTTGTTGTTACCTGTGATTTTGGCATCATATCCAAAAACTAATTGCAAGACAAATGTTAATAAGCTTTTCCTCTATACTTTATTCTAGGAGACTTATTAATTGTATACTTGAACAAATTTTCTTTTTATGATGATGATGATAACTATTATTTAAATTATTTGATCCAGTATGGATGGTATTTTCTTTGAAATTATTTTCTGCCCTCTGGAGAACTGAATATCAGAGTCCTTGTGCTTGGATTTTCCTCTCTGAATTATTACTAATTTTCAGATCAAATGGTTTGATGGCTATTGTCATGCTATTAGTTTAGATCATTCAAAATAACTACAACAGA